TTTTTACAATGTAACAAATATAAGAACTTCTGTATTTGTCGACTGCAGGTACGTCTTGGAATGCCGTGTTTGTGGGATTATCTATCGTAGCCGGCAGTACTGGTATGGAAACAAAGACCCGGATGGATCTCTTGTACGACAGGAAGTTAGACATGTCTGGTCAGAGGTAAAGGAATGCTATCTTTTTTGTTATTCTATATTTTAGAGCAGGATGACGAATAGTGGGTAGGAAGCAGCTCTGTATGTATGCATGGACAGGTATTACATTACATTCTGTCTGTCCAGTAGCAGCTGCTTGTCTATCATTGGATTAGCCTGCTTCCCTTCTGGATCTACAAACTGCAGCCATTAAACGTAACATTCTGTGTGGAATACTGTTAGTCTCCTCCTCGAAAAAAAATTGTCTAAGAGGCTTTTTATAAATCTTATACATGCACTAAATATGCTTTCTTTTCTTTTAACTGTCTTACATTAGTTCCCTTTTTTATAGAAGAGTTTTTGCCTGACCATATGATTATTTCATTTTCTTCTACGGTATACAATGGCATCTTTTGTTTTATACAAAGTACCAAAAAAATTGGAGACGAAAAGGAAGTAATTCATTGCTGGTAATAGCACATAAAGACAAGATTGTCATTGTATCATCTTGGAAAGTTTGGCTAGATGGTGTAGTGATTATCACATCTATGTGTAGCAGTAGAAGCCCCAGCAATTGTTTTGGAGATATTACCAGAAAGGCCAGGCTGACATTTGTTCCCTGAGATATGTCCAGCACTCTTCCTCGTTACATTAACATGTATGCTGGGCCAGTATAAGTTTACCTGATGGTTTGAAAGTTGGATCGTTCACTCACAAGGAACCTCCTTCAAATATCTTTAGCCAGAGTAACGATGACGAACATACAGATGAATTCGCAAACCGTAATACTAAAGCGTTTGTGTAAGCAGGCTTCTGGAGTATTCACTCTGCCCAATGGGAAACATTTGTCAGCATTTTGGAGATCCCTGTTTTTTTTACTGTTGACAGATCCTAAGGGCAATGAACATTTTAAAATAAACGTGTGTATATATAGAAGTACATAAATATTCACCCTCATACTGAAGTGGTTAAAACCAAGATCATGGCTGCTCTCCTGTGCCATCACATAGGGGGTGTTTGTTAGAGTAGAGGAAAGGTTCGGATTCAGAAGATCAGTATCAGACTTCCATCTGGGTCAGGTGTATACTGTATCTTACCCCTGTGAATGTTTTCTCTTACAGAGTGACTCTTACTCACTAGACCAACAAAATGCAGCCCAGCGTGTGCTAGATGGAGTGAATTTTGTCATGCAGTCTGTGAACGAGTACAGTGCTGGGCCCACCAACATGGTCACCTCATGGCTCATAGACAATGTGGCTCCCCCGTATTGGCGACCAAATGCTGAGATCACTGTAAGTTGGTTTCTTTCTGCATGGTCCACCTTTTATCCAATCTGTGTATGCAGTCTGTATTCACATTAAAAAGAATGTGGAAAGCATCAGCCCTATTTATTAAAGCAACCCTGCGCTTTGCCCAATGAAGGATAAAGCAACAGTTTCCCCCTTCCCAGCAGCACACATTCACCTTTTTATTTAATTTTTTCTCCTGCCACACATTCAGCTGCCAGGAGATGTTAATACACCAGGTTCTTCCTGGAATGAAGGAGCAAGTGACCTTCTCTATGTGGCAGTGATATTGCTTGATAATGAACCCAGTGCTGTTACCTGGGACCTAAAAGAATCCTAACCCAGTGTAAGCTCTGACTGTGGAGCGTTTTAAAGCTTCTAGAAGCTAAATGGAGCATTGGGAGAGTGAAGGTCAGGATGTGATGCTGGGGAGGGGGCCAGCAAAATAAACCTGCATGGGCAAAGTACAAGTTCATTTTAAAAAGTCTAAAGCAAACAAAAACCATCCTGGGCCAAATAAACTACGAGGGGAGGCCAATAAGTTCTTACCCCCACCATGATCCAGATGTGATAGGGATATGAAATGTAGTCCACTGACTATTCCTTCTCTACATATCCACCTCCTATGGTTACACACTTTTCACATCTGTGGAACAGACCTTTAATCCATCTGCGTAGAAGTATGCAGATTTGGAGGAAAACCAGCTATCAACTTCAGTAATGAAAATAATGTGGAAACGTCTTCCCCGTAAATGTCTCTTCAGATTTGGAAACAGGAAGAAGTCCGAAGGTGTCAGGTCAGGTGACTAAGGTGGATGGGCCAGAGATTCATAGCCACAATCACGAACAAAAGTGACAGTTTCTGCAGCTCGATGTGCAGGTGCATTGTCCGCTAGCAGCAGCACGGCTCGGTATTCAGCTTTGTCCAGCATGACACCTACTCCATTTCTCTTGGCTCTAACTATAATTCACCACGACCTACAAAAAAATGGCATGCATATTACTAAGATGTCCACCTATAAACCTGCAAAATTTCTGATCCTTAGCACATCTAGATCATGGTGAGGGTAAGACCTTATTGGCTTCTTCTCGTAAGATTGACGGTTGTTGAGGAATGTGAATTGTCACATGTGTCATCTTATTTATGCCGCATCGCATGTCAAGTAAACTATTGTGTCGCAGTGCATATAAGATTTGGCACATAGTAGAATGTGTAATCACGCCATCATCCTTTTGGCGCACTGCTGCTCATCTTCTTAGCCATTATTTATTTGGTGCAGATTGTGAGACTTTATGTGCTAAAGGTTGTTTTTTACAATTGGTGCACTTGTATCTTTCTTTTTAATCCCTACAAACTGAACTATTATTTGGCGTTCCAAAAAAGCAGGTTGCTGTGTGCCAAATATTTAGAGCACTGACAATAGTTTATCTGTCTTTCGGTGTCTCTAGCAGCCAGTCAGAATTCTGCATTCGGAACGTGACAGGTTTTATCTTCTTGCTATGGGCAGCACAACCAGATCTTCTTTTAGAAACTTGGCTAAATAGGAGTCATTGTCTGGAAGGGTAACGTTGTCATGGCTCACGTTACATGCCTTTTATACCTTTTTGAATCATTCATGAATGTAACTGGATATAAGTACTTGGTGGTCAGGTGACATTCACCAAGCTGTAGTGAACTGGTTTCTGGAGAACACTCATTGGTGGAGGTTGTTCAGACAGGAAATAAAGGCAGGATCAAGATAGCTGCTGCAGTTTCAAATGGTTATATTGGCTTTAAGTGGTTATACTTTGATGATGCAAGTTTGCATGGCATTGAGGATAATATGTTTGAACACAGGAGGGGAATAAATACAAGTGTGGGGGAAAACAATAGGCAGCTTAATCATTTTGAACGGGCTGTCAATGGACTTCAACGTATGAATTAAAACACAGGGTGCTGCAACACACAAATAATTTGCATATGTGTGTTGTGCGCTATTGCACAGGCGAGCTGCAGCACATTCTATATGTGCCTTGGATTGCAATTACCAATGAATGGCAAATCACCACAACATTCGATTACCATGTGTTACTGTTATGCGCTTTATAAAACCTTTTAAGCTGGGAGCAAGCCCTAAATCTCTCAGTAAATCACAAGCTTTCTACACATTGCTGTTGCTTCTGTTTCCTCCCATGATTCATGCCATGTTCTATTCTCCTGTAGATGTGTCATGGTTGTAAGAAAGAATTTGTGCCAGCTGAGAGGAAGCATCATTGCCGATCTTGCGGAGAAGGTTTCTGTAACAGCTGCTCCGATCAGACTATGCCCGTTCCTGAGCGAGGCTGGGGACCGTCCCCTGTACGTGTCTGCAAGAAGTGTCACAATAAAGGGCCAGTGAAAGGTGAGAGACACGGTGTATATATGTGGCAATAATCAGGTAAATGAACTGGCATCCATGATACCAGCAATACATAGAGACTGATTCATTCTCATGTACTCTCATGTATAATATTAAAAAGCCGAAGTTCTATAAAAAATTCTTACTGGTCCATATCATTTTTTCCCCAAAAAAACCCTTTATATACAGTAATAAGATAGAAAGGAATATTGATGGTTATTAGAACCCATCTCCAGCAAAAAGTGATTTACTTTTGGATGAGCAGGAAAGGCTAGTCCCTCTTTTGTGGAGATTTCCCATCACTCCCTGTCCTGTCCTTTTAAATCTCTTCAATGTGGTGTAAGTTTTTTTTTTTTGCTGTACAGTAAATGTACGCAATTTTAGTTGGGTGAAGCAGCTTAAACATGCATGGTGCTGTAATTTACAATATCCATATACAATATCACCAGCACACTAAATTAGTTCAGTGTGAGAACACGTATTGTCACGGAAAAAGATGTAACCTTTGGGGACATTTAAAGTGTGTTTTTAAATTTTGCAGTCACATTTTGAAAAATAAATAAAAAAAAGTGTATATATATATATATGTGTATATATTTCTCACCAGGGCTAAATACAGATGTCACTAGAACTGAATACATGTCCCCAAAGCAGAACGCATGTCCCTAAGGCAGTAGTAGTAGTATGTTAGTCTGTTAAATATACCATTGAAAGTCTTTTGTTATGATTGGTCCATAATATATCCATAAACATGTCTGTTGATCCTGCATGAAATGATGTGATCTAATAACTTCCTATGTACAATCTGCTTGTGCTGCATTCTTATAAGTTACTAGCTATTTCTGGACCACAAAACATCTCTCCCCTATGTTATGGAGAAAAGGAGAGGGAAAGCTCTTTTGGTAGTGCTATCCTGGATTGACATTGTTGCTCTCACGGTACTGTGAGTGTGAGTAGCCACCCTAGGACAAGAAATGTGTTACTAGCAAGATTATCAGATGATAATAAAGGATTAAAAGTCTGAGAAAAGAAAACAAATGCAGCCACCACATCTAAGGATTGGTAAATGGCAACATATGACATTTTAGTTTTTGGGTTTAGATGCATTTTATGGGTCTATTTATAAACCAGTTGCAGAGCCATTCACCTTGCGAAATTTTCTGAGCGTTTGTTCTTTGCGAATAGATGCATAAACGAATGTTCCTAGATGTATGCAATGTAATACTGCATTTTGGCCACTAGATGAAGCTGAGGAGCATAAGAATGTATTATACCTTTACTATAATACTTATTTCCTGTGCTCCTTCACTCCATCTAGTGGCCAAAATGCAGTATTATATGGCATACATTGGACTAGAAAGGAAAATATAGGGGCGTTTGTTTTTGTGTCTATGCACATAGAATAAACTTTCAGAAAGATTTGGGGGGCAAATTGCTCTGCGAATTGTTTATAAATAGACCCCAAAATAACTTTAAAAAAAGTACAAAGTGAACCTTACTTTTTTGCCGCCCTCAGAAACAACATTGAAGAACTTGGAGAATTTGTAGATTTCATTGTAACTGTTTTTTAGCATTAGACAAAGTCTTGATGTTTTCTCAGGTCGCAATACTGCTCAGGATGACGGCAGAAGTTTGTTGCCTCGTAAAGTCACAGAGATTGCTCAGAGCTCGTTGGAGATGATGTCTTCTGCAGTGAAATATCCTATGGGTAATGATTTCACCTACAAGATTTGACCTGAAGATAATTTAGCTCTGTAGCCAGGAAGTACACTTGAACTAAAGCCTTTAGCGGCTGCGCTAATGGCAATAAATCGGGATGCATCGGTACCAGTTTTTCAGTATCGGTTACGAGTAACGATATTTTTTTCCCCGGAAGTCCCATTAAGGAAGCCGGGCAGCGTGTAATGACTCGCCGGCCAGCTTCCTGTTTATCCGTGAAGCCAGCTCCATGCTTCCTAGTCACCAAGTGACGAGAAAGCATGGAGCCGGCTTTCTGGCCAATCAGGAAGCCAGGGGGCGGGTCATTACATGCCGCCCAGCTTCCTGAATGGGCGGGAAGCCAGCTCCATGCCCCCTCCTCTCCTGGTGACGAGGAAGCATGGAGCCGTCTTTCTGGCCGATCAGGAAGCCTGGGGCAGGTAAAGACTCACCGCCTAGCTTCCTGATTGGCCAGCTTCCCGACCAATCAGGAAGCCAGGCGGCGAGTCATTACACACCAAGTGACGAAGAAGCATGGAGCCAGCTTTCCGGCCAATCAGGAAGTCAGGTGGCGTGTAATGACTCGCCGGCCAGCTTCCTGATACCGGAAGTTTCAGTATCGGGATAAGTATTAGGGAGCATTTGGGTGAGTACTCACTCACAAGTACTCACCCAAATATTTGGAATCAGCACCGATGCATCAGATCGGTGCATCCCTAGCAATAAATAGGCAGACATCTCATAAAGAATTTGATTCATTGAATGCTCAGCATCTTTCAATCATGGCTTTGCATGTTGCAGCTTCCTTTCTCACAGTTACACTGCAGTACAGAGGTGATGAGGGATCCTTCCATTTTCTTTGGAAAAAGGAACAATCCTGATATGGTGCTTCTTCTGTGAGGAGGAATTGCTCCACAATGCATGCAGCTAGTCGGGGAGAGCTTGTTGTAAAGCTCATTTTGTTAAGAATCTGTAAATATTGAAATGTCCATAGCACAAATTCACATGTAGGATTGTTTATATAGAGCACAAACATAGCTTACATTAAGAGGGGAAATTTATCAAAACTGGAGCAGACAGAATCTGGAGCAGTTGCCCATGGCAACCAATCAGCATCTCTCTTAATTTTGCTCAGGTAAGATTTGAAAATGAGACCGAGAAGCTGATTGGTTGCAATGCAAATCTGCTCCGGATTCTGTCTGCCCCAGTTTTGATCAATTCCCCTCCTTATGTCTTTCTCTAATTGATGTGTTCATTCTGCCACTATTTTACAGGCTTTGTAAAGGAAGCAGCACGTCCCGGCTACTGGGTGCCAGACCAGGAGATCATCAACTGCCACAGCTGTAAAACACCATTTACCCCTAAAATGTACAAACATCACTGCAGGTCTTGTGGCCAGGGCTTCTGCCAACTGTGCTCTGAATATCAGCGGCCCGTCCCCTCACGGGGTTGGCATCACCCAGTACGGGTGTGTCAGAGCTGCAGTCGTAAAAAGGGGGAGCTGTGAAGAGGACACTAACCTTAGTCCCAGAGACCAGTAACAGGAGCTGATGAGGATCAGGAGGAATTTGAAAAATTGAGACTGGTGCTTGGAAATCATGACTGGAGCTTTACACTAACATTGGGGAAAACACTTGTGGGCTTGGTGGAGCATGATCGCAGTCTCTGTAATAATCACAAATTGTTACTATGTGACTGTGTTCAGTAGCTCTCTTGGCACTTCTTAGAGATGGATCTCAGCACATTTGGCTTAGTCACTTGAGCTAAAGCAAAAAGATTCTCAGTATATAAGCCTGACGACTGGAGTTGTAGATTTACTTTTTGCTGATGTACCCACCTCCATGTGACCACTGTCACCCCACCCCACTTGCAAAACCCCACTCCAGTTGGTGTACTCACCAGTCCACACTCCCTCACTGCCTCCCTGCTGCAGGAGCCCACCCTGGGTAAGTTCCTGTGTGATATGGTGATGGTGCTTACCCCGGTGGATGACATTACTGCCCCCCAAATGACAGTGTTCGGGCCATCACCTAGTTCTTTCACTTTGCCCTGAATGGGCAAGAGAACATATAATGATATTTTTTATTCAGCTTGTGCCATAAACAGTTATGCTGTGGTCACACAAGCTTTCTGCTTTAGACTATAAAGTGAAGGTGAGAAGCCCATAAACGGCCCCAGCGTCAGCTTATCTCAAGGTAGTTTAGAGGATGTCACCAGCACACCACACGATGCTAATCTGCAAGTGTTCATTTATTGACAATCGCTGTCTCTCATTGGCAAGCGTTTTCGGGGCCACACAGGGCCTCCTTCATCAGGCTCAATGATCTCTGAGCCTGATGAAGGGGATGCCGGGTTGAAGTGGTTATTCTATTATAGCTAGATTCTGTAATTATTTCTTGTGCATTAGGATTAATCCAGCATTAGAGCATGGCAATTTGTTGGGGAGACCAAAGGGAGCTGCAAGAAGCCGTCATGTGAGTTAGTTTGTCGGAAACTATGCAATATTGAAATGTTAATTTTGGGTAGGGTTGACAGTCTAACAAAATTATATATCGGTTGTATGTGGCTGATTGACCCACACTTTTTTATATTCATGGCCTTCTCTACATTGAGGTAAGGTTGGACTTTTCTATCAGATGGCATTCTCTAGAAGCAGAATAGGTTAAAGTTGTTACCTTGCCTCATGGTTGTCAGCCGTCTCCTGCTACTATAGACACCGGAGAAATGGCACAGAAATGTAGAATTGGTGTCCTTACCATTAGACACACACACACAGCACTGTGTGGAGCAAACTTAAGTGCCGAGGCTTTGGGATTTTAATTGCTTCTTGTACTACTACTGGATGCTTATGCTAATACCATGGAGAAGCAACTCTCCTGGAGTTCCTGGCCCTGCTCGCCTCCTTCTGCTCAATTTGTTGTTGTATAAAATAAAAATTCAATAGGGAGAATGGGGAAAGTAGGAAGATCTGGGAGCATAGGTACAAATATCTTGTTGCTGGAATTTTGCAGAAGAAGCTTGAGGATAATTCAGCCTATTGACTTTCACCCAAATCTGAAAAAGCACTCTAAAACTGATACTGTGGGATCTGCTATGGCTGATTACCTGAACGGTGTCTAAGCATTCAGTCATGTCATCTTTGCAGACAGCTCTGTCAAACAGAACGTTGGTCCTTCCTTTCTTGTGATCATGTGACCACATGCCATGGCATCGTGGAACAGCATTTTTTTAGTTCAGTGGGTTTGAAGCATATTTAGTTTACAGTGCAACTGTACCCATACTATAGAAATTAAAATGTTTACATATTCCTAACAAGCAATGAAGAGTCTGTAAATCAAGCCATTACCAATCTCTTTAACTGTTTTTACCATGCAGTAATTCATCCTCAAAAATCTCACTGTCTACATTGCAGTACCTTCTTGTGAAAGCCCATACGTACCCCCAGGGAGGGCTGTGGAGAGTACTCCCAGGTAGAAACACAGATATTAGTTATATCTTGAAGTTTTCTGGTAGGAAATGACATCTCAAGTCTTTGTGTATATATGTCTGAAAAGGGAGAGTTTGTTGAAGCAAGTCTTAAGAGAACTATGGCCCAACCTTTTTTTGCCATAGTTCTCTTTATGGCCATAGGAGGACATATATACTAATGTCTTCCTGTGACCCATAACTCTGCATATAGTGAGCTATTGCTCTCTATATGCTGGCAGCACAGACCCATGCCGGAGCTGGGACGGATTCTGACCACATTGTCAGGATCCACCCTGCTGCCTGATTGACAGCTGGCTCTACTTCCCTAGAAGCAGAGCCAGCTGTGCCCGCCTCCTCTCCCATCCGTTCCTTCAGTCAGCACTGGAGGAATAGAGAGAGGGGAGGGGGGGGATCCCTTCGGGGAGCAGTGACTGACAGTCACCGCTCTGCAGGAAGAAGACCGTGAACTGACCGATCGGCGGTATTTGATCGCTCAGTTCCCGATCAATAGAGCCGACGTGTGACGGCTTCAGTGTCACACGTTGGCTCTAATTATGGGGATGGGTGTATTTCACTCTCCCCATGATTCACCTTTAAGTTACACCAGAAGGTTTTATGAACCATAGCCAGGTGCACCTCAGTTAGGAAGAGAATTTCTTTCAACAGCTTTAACTTACTGATCAGCCTTAAAAATTATCCAGCACTTTTTGCATGAAAAAACTAACTGTTGGTTAAATAACTGCTAGAGGTTAAATAACCATAGAGGTTTGAATAATCTTAACCTGCAATATAAGTTGATGCAATATGGGAATACATTTTTGGCATTCACATTTACAGTGGGTAGAAAATGTTCTGTTCTGAGGTTGAAATTAGGACGATGATCATTTTAATCTTTGTGTGGCTCAATCACATCCGAATTCAAATTTATTTTCAATCAAAATGTTCAAAGTGAAAAAAGAATTCTGCTACTGATTACAAAACTGATATAATCCTGTGAAGAAAACCTTTATATAGGGGATCCCTATAGGTCATCATACCTGTAAAGAAGAATCCTAAATATCAGTATGACACGGCACAGGACAGATACACACAAGAAATTGACCTGGGTGTCTGGCTTCAAAGATCAGATAAGCTCAGAGTTCTTTTTTTAAAGTTGCTTTATAGAGAAATACCATAGTGAAGTCTTATAAACGTTCAATACTGACAAGTTGATGGAACAATTAAAGTATATGTATCTCAACTTGTATTCTAGGATTCCATTAGGTGCATGGTAGAATAACTAACTATGATTTCATAATACATTCCTTTTAAGTTATTTTGCTGTGTATAGGAAACCTGATATGTGAATTAAAATACTTCTTAAGTCAAAGCTTTTATTTTGCATTGGATAGAATGGCTGAAACCCCTAAAAGGATGTTTCTTTCGTGTTCCTTCAGGGACACTGGTAGTAGTTGACTTATGCCTATAAGAGGATTGGACACTGGCAAACAAAAAAAAATGCATGCTATCCCAGCATAACCCCTCCTACTACCAGCATGCCCCAGTTTTTTGCTAGTGTCTTAGGAAGATGGACATCTTTTCTTGCGTAAACGACTCACCAAACATTTTCAGCATCAGACTACTGTTTCTTGGGCGTGTTGGCATTTATTTGCTTTGATGTCCACCCCTCAGTTGGACTTCTCTGACACTACGAAAGTGAATGACTCCCTGTGTCCCTTTAACGGACGAGAAAGAAAATAAGATTTCTGTACTCGCCATAAAATCAATTTCTTGGAGTCCAATGAGGAACACCCCTCTGTGTTTATGATCATGCTCTCGGTAAAACTGAGGCATGCTAGAAGTAGGGGAGGTTACCCTGGGCTGGCTTGTAGTTTTCATGTTTACTAGTCTCCTGTAGGCAGCAGTATAACCTGAAGATGAATGACTTTCTGTGTCCTGCAATGGACTCCAAGAAAAGGATTATGCAGAGCGCAAAAATTCAATTTTTTTTTAGTTACCGGTGTCCTACTCTGCAGATTTCTTTTCACTAGTTTTCCCAGTAACAATAAGTGAGAGGAAATGTCCCCGAGATGAGGAGGATTTTCCTCTTTTAGACAGTTGCCACCCAAAACAGGTGTCCTCATTAGAAGTTCTCCCCTTTGTTCTCGTTTTGGCAACAACTACACTTTTGGATCTCCCATCTCTTTCTGTCTCCATGACAATGGTCACCAGGACAACTAGAGAAGGAGAATTTCCCCATGCAGACAGCAATAAAAGCCTGATAGGGGTTTTAACCATCCTATGCTCTATCCAAAACCAAAAAAGGGTGTTTGGCTTTGTATGCACTTTTATAATTGTTTTTATAATAAAATTCTTTTTTCACTTATGTCTTCAGCCTCATGATTTAATCTAGCGGTGCCATGTACAGTGTGTAACCCATGTACTGGCTACTCCACCCTTCCATTTTGTTGATTTTCTGGCTGTAGAAGGGCTGAGAGTGAGAAGTGTTGAGCGTGCTGCCGATCTCATTGAAGTTGCCTTATCTAGTAGGATCTGCCCAAGGCTTCTACACGATTTATCTGGTACCTGGCACATTTTACAGTAAAGTGTTCCTTGCTTCCTTGTCTTTCTGTTCATAAAAAGGAAAATTGTTGCTTATTTATTTGCCATACACTGGGGAAAAAAACTATAGGGAGTATTTATAGAGGAGAGTAGACACCGCTGTCTGCTTTACAACACAGCCTGCATTTAATGACCCATTCATAAAATGCAGGCTTGAATGTGGAGCCTACTGCACCCCATAGTTTTCTCTGCATACACAGCAGATAACACACTCCATGATTGGAGAAGAGGTCAGTCACATGACTTAGGCTTGCCTCTTTTCCATCAACGTCTGAAGCAAGCAGAGAGCGCAATGCACATTGATAAAGAACATCACTGTGGAATATCAGACATTGTCACATTATCCTAGAATTGCCCTTCCCAAGCAGGATATTGTTTGGCTCTTCTATTTTTTGGGGAGAAAAGTTTTAAATCCTCTTTTTTTTAGTTTTATCTTTTTTCACTGTACTGGCAGTTGCTGGAGTAT